ATTCGTTGGTAAAAGAGTAGCCCAAAAGTTGGCGGTGGGTTGACTAGCTGCCTTCCCTCTAGTATTTCACTCCTAAATTAGGAACGTCTCGTGTAGCTTTGCGCGAAATTCAAAAAACAAACAAACAAACTTTGGACATTCGCCTATTTTAATTCTCATTTATCATTAACTTCTGATCATAGCAAACAACCCACAGAGATCAGAACTAAAGATTAACCATCATAGCAAACAACCCTCACAGATCAGAACTAAAGATTACCCTACTAATAAATATTGCAAATTCACTATATGGTTCTCACGTGAAATTATTGGAATGCATTGATTCGGCACTTGGGTACCCTCTCTGTTAGTGACGTTTTCGGCCGTAATTCCAATAACATTTATGGGTGTTCGGCCATCTTAGAAATGCTAGGTTGCTCTTCAAACCATATGTTTACTTAAAATGCTAAGTAAACCTCATTATAAAAAATGCACGATGAAATATGAAAAATAATTAAAAAAACATTGATCACACTATTACTATTGGTGAAACTATTATTAATGAAAGCACAAAATATCACTTATTTAGTTGCATTTCCTAGGCATACTTGCACCAACCAGCGGTGTCCATTTGAATTTCTTGCGATTCGGTCAAAGAGCAACAGGCGTAGAAAATAATAAAACCAAAATTTCAAAGCTTGATATCTTTCACATGTCGTTCGTTCTACAGTCCACACGTTACATCGTATTGAGTAACTTTATGATGTACACGTTTCAACACACGGTTCGAAGAGCTAGCCAAAATAATAGATGGAATCGGTATCTTATACACATATAGAAAACCCAAGCAATAATTGGTGGAATTAATTGCTATATTAACGGTATCCCTGTTTAAATGTTTGTGTGTGACTCGTATCTCACTAGAGTCTTATAAGATAAAATACCATATGGTATCTTATCAGTAATTCTAGGGTTAAAGGGACATCGTCACACATTTTTTCGTCCAGTGTAAAGCCTTAGTGTAAGAAAATACAGTGCTTGAAAGGAAAAATAACTGAGACAGTTTGCAGCTATAGGAAAGTTCATTAAATAGATTAAAAATAAGTTTTATCCATATTTTTGCGTGGCAGAACAAAGTGAAATGTATATGTTTGATTTTGTATTTGAAATTATTGATACTATTAATTGTATATTGACATTGGAAATCTAAGAAAGAACGACATCGCTGCAAGGTTATGTAATAACTTAGATGGGTTTTTTTTTGTCGTGTCTTATAAATAACCACAGTAATATATATATATATATTATGAAAAAGCCAACGTTTTCATTTAAGGACTATGCTCGATTTAGTGGTTAGCGTGTCTGGCTGTGGTCCAAAGTCCAGGGTTCGAAACACGATACTGCAGAACGCACTCCACACTTTCAGCTGTGAGAGTGTAATAAAAGTAATAGTCATCATCCCGTTACCCAATCAAAAGGGTCGGACAGAAGAAGCTACTTGTACAATGCTGTGACGGTCAATCCCACCTTTCGGCGGATGTTGTTGACTAGGTGCCTTCCCTCTAGTTTATCACTCCTAAATTATAAATGGCTAATCAGATATCTCTCGAGTCACTTTCCGAGAATTTCCAAAAACAAACAAAAATTCAACATTCGAGATTTAGTAAATGTTTCAATAAACAGAAAAGTTCAAACAGATTTAGTTAATAGTTTCAAAGTAATTCGCGAAAAATGAGTAAGAAGGTAATTCGGTTGTTGCATAAAACTCTCACAACTTATGCTTAATTAAAGTAATTATATGATTAATAACGGTTCGTGCATCACAACCGGTAAACTACAAGAAATTACTGTAAGAGGTCAACTTATAAATAAATCACTGTATGAGGTTAATTTATAAAAAAAAACTCATCTCACGGTTTGAAGAAAGGTTCACAAAGAAATCACTCAATATTACTGTACGAGGTCAACTCAACAATGTAATCGTTCCCAATCACTGCACGAGGTAAACTAAACGTAAAAATCACTGTACGAGGTCAACTAAACGTAAAAACCACTGTACGAGGTCAACTAAACGAAAAGATCACTGTACGAGGTCAACTGAACAAAGAAACGTGTACAATAACTGCACCAGGTAAAGTAAACGAAAAAATCACTGTAAGAGGTAAACTAAATGGAGAAATCATTGCACGAAGTAAACCAAACAAAGAAATCACTGCATGACGTCAACTGAACAAAGAAATCGTTCACAATCACTATACGAAGTAAACCAAACAAAGAAATCACTGCATGACGTCAACTGAACAAAAAATCGTTCACAATCACTGCACGGGGTAAACTAAACGAATAAATCACTGTACGAGTTCAATGGAACAAAGAAATCGTTCACAATCATCGCACCAGGTAAACTAGACGTAAAAAATCATTGTACGAGATCTACTAAACACAAACTCGTTTACAATCACTGCACGAAATAAATTAAACGTAAAAATCACTGTACGAGTTGAATGGAAAAAAGAAATCGTTCACAATCATGGCATGAGGTAAACTAAACGTAAAAATCACTGCACGAGGTCAACTGAACAAAGAAATCGTTCACAATTACTGGACGAAGAAATCACTGTACGAGATCAACTGAATAAAGAAATCGTTCACAATCACTACACGAGGTAGACTAAACGTAAAAATCACTCTACCGGGTAAACTAAACGTAAAAATCACTGTACGAGGAAAACTAAATGGAGAAATCACTGCATGACGTCAACAAAAACAAAGCAATCGTTCACAGTCACTATACGAGGTAAACTAAACATAAAAGTCACTGTACGAGGTCCACTGAACAAAAAATCGTTCACAATCACTGCACGAGGTAAACTAAACGAATAAATCACTGTACGAGTTCAACGGAACAAAGAAATCGTTCACAATCACTGCACGAAATAAACTAAACGTAAAAATCACTAAACGAGATCAACGGAACACAACATCGTTCACAATCACTGCACGAAGTAAACTAAACGTAAAAATCACTGTACGAGGTCAAGTGAACACAGAAATTGTTCACAGTCACCGCATAAGGTCATCTTACTAAATAAATTGTTCACAATTGCTGTACGAGGTCTATTGAACACAATATCCGTATGAGGTCATGTTACCAAAGAAATAGTTCAAACTCACTATATCAGTTAAACTTAACGAATTGCGCCATAACTAATCTTTTCATAAAATGTTTTCAATTTTGTTTGAATGTGGACTCATATAAAATAATCCTCCCCCTCTCATGTTATACGCGTTTTTTCATTGCACCAAGCCTACATACCACCAGTAAAAATTAGATATATTTAATAAATATACTATAAAAAATAATGAAACAATCAAAACGTATTTTTCATTTTCAATCATTTACTCATAGTTTGTAAAGAATAACGTTTGAGTTAAATGTTAACAGTTAATTTGGTTGGTATATTTAGTTTCGCAAGTTTTAATAAAGATATTAAATATCCAGGTAAATATTTGTATTAACTTCTTCAGTTTCTTAAACGTTGTAAAATATTGTACGGTCAAACAACGTAACTTGTAAAATCCTCTCCGGATAAACGAAGATAAAATATCGTTAAACAAGTTAACGAGTAAAATCCTCTCCGGATAAACGAAGGCAAATTAGCGTTAAACAAAAAACTAATAAATATAATCAACTCCGGATAAACAAGGATGAAGGATTAGCGTTCAAGAAGAAAACCAATAAAGTCCTTTTCAGATAAACGAAGATATATGGTGCTAAAGAACATAACCTGTAAAATTCTTTCCGGATAAACGAAGTGAAAAGTTTAAAAGATCTCAATCTGTATCTATCTATACTAAATTGTAACATTGTAGAGAGAAAAAAACTTGGGAAAGTGAGTAAAATTACCTTTGATAAACAAATATTACTACGACCCAATACAGAACAGCATGACAACAGAAACTACAATCAATTAACACTAGTTGAATGTCTTGGTTGAAACGGTTTGTTTTTGTTTGTTATGAATTTCGCGCAAAGCTACACGAGGGTTATCTGCGCTAGTCGTCCCTAATTTAGCAGTGTAAGACTAGGGAGAAGGTAGCTAGTCATTACCACCCACCGCCAAATCTTGGGCTACTCTTTTACCAACAAATAGTAGGATTGACCGTCACATTATAACGCCCCCACGGCTGAAAGGGCAGCATGTTTGGTGGGACGGGGATTCGAACCCGCAGATTGCGAGTCGAGCGCCGATGAACTAGGGGTAAACCCACAGTTTCGTGTATTCGTTTTTCAGGTCGATGAAGATAGAAAGATATGTCGTTTATTTATCGAGCAATTTGTCCATTTCAACATCATCTTTCAACTGAGCCATCTAAATAACATTAACATCTGATGGTGGAAAACTAGGCATCGAGTTGAAGTGGCAGAAACCCAACTTCAGCTGCCAGAGAAGGACAAAAAAAGTAATCCACTCTGGTTCTTCAACTTATTATCGCCGTCATAACTTTACATTTAAGAAACTTTAGTTCATTACCAAATTTATTCAATGCCCTCTCAGTTAAGTTTTGATGTCACCACACCCACTTGTTCACTTACAAAGTACACAGCGATTACTTATAAGCTCAGCTCAGCACAGCATAAAGTAGAACGTCCGGTGCTAAATGATATTTCCATAACGTTAAAAAAAACACAAAAACTTGTTACCCTTGAATTACTTTCTCTGTTCCACGTGACCCCACTTTAACTGCCAAAGGTGAATGTGTGGGACATGTTGGAACCGCCAAGTTACTTCGTGTCCCACGTGACTCTTTATAACCGTCACCCATGATGGTACAGGAAAAATTGAAATATACCTTGAACAAACAAGGGCGTGTTAAAGTTGCCATTGTGTGTCATGGATAATACTTTTAATACCTATTATGATACCTTATGTAAGCATCTGGGGAGAAGGGGAAGTTGCGGTGAAACGTCATTGACTGTTTTCTCGTATCATAACTAA